CGCGGGGGGGGTGGGCGGTGTGTGTACATGTAGCGGGGCGGGCAGGCGGTATGTGTACATGTAGCGGGGCGGGCAGGCGATATGTGTACATGTAGCGAGGCGGGCAGGCGGTATGTGTACATGTAGCGGGGCGGGCGGTATGTTCTGCGCTTCATTTAGGGTTCTGTGTCATTTCAGTCTCATATCACGGGGAGCTCTACGTGTTCGGGGGATACAACGCTCGCCTGAACCGTCACTTCCAGGATCTGTGGAAATACACGCCGGGTATGTGATATGTGTCGTGTGTGTGCGTCCTACCCCACTCCGTGTCATCTATGCCCTCCCTCTTCCCCCATGTATCTCTCTCTCCTGCGTCCTCCTCCTGCCGTACGCTGGGTGCAGTTATAACACAACGCATGTTGCACGGCCGCCATATTCTGCTGTCAGCCGGGATTTCAGGGGCGCGATGGGATTCCTCCTCACTGGCAGCGGGAGTGGGTGGAGCCGCGCAGTCCCCAGAAGGGACTATTCACAGGAAGTCCTGCGTCCCCCCCTAATCTGCTCCCCCAGGGACGGGTTGTGTCATGTGATTCCTGAGGACCGGGCTGATGGCAGAATATTGGTACCCGCCCGCGTTGTGGCTCGGAGGTTGCGGCGGCCATGTTGGTTACAGTAGACGTTTTGTGGAAATGGCTGTAAATGAACGCGATGGATGTGCAGAGATCCGCGGGGCGCGTTGTGACCGGCAGTTTCTCTCTCAGATTCGGGTCGCTGGCAGCGGGTTGAGGTCCGGGGGAAAGGTCCGTGTGCCCGGCGCAGACAGTGTTGCTGCATTGTAGGTGACAAGATTCTGCTCTTCGGAGGCACCAGGTAAGACCAGCCGGAGAATGAAGACTGTCCGGGGTCACAGGGCTAGGGTGGCATTGGATGGTGGGCATGTGTGTGTGAGGTGGCATTGGATGGCGGGCATGTGTGTGTGAGGTGACATTGGATGGCGGGCATGGGTGTGTGAGGTGGCATTGGATGGTGGGCATGGGTGTGTGAGGTGGCATTGGATGGTGGGCATGGGTGTGTGAGGTGGCATTGGATGGTGGGCATGGGTGTGTGAGGTGGCATTGGATGGTGGGCATGGGTGTGTGAGGTGGCATTGGATGGTGGGCATGGGTGTGTGAGGTGGCATTGGATGGTGGGCATGGGTGTGTGAGGTGGCATTGGATGGTGGGCATGGGTGTGTGAGGTGGCATTGGATGGTGGGCATGGGTGTGTGAGGTGGCATTGGATGGCGGGCATGGGTGTGTGAGGTGGCATTGGATGGCGGGCATGGGTGTGTGAGGTGACATTGGATGACTGGCATGGGTGTGAGGTGGCATTGGATGGTGGGCATGGGTGTGTGAGGTGGCATTGGATGGTGGGCATGGGTGTGTGAGGTGGCATTGGATGGTGGGCATGGGTGTGTGAGGTGGCATTGGATGATGGGTTTGAGGTGGCATTGGATGATGGGCATGGGTTTGAGGTGGCATTGGATGATGGGCATGGGTGTGTGATGTGGCATTGGATGGTGGGCATGGGTGTGTGAGGTGGCATTGGATGATGGGCATGGGTGTGTGAGGTGGCATTGGATGGTGGCCATGGGTGTGTGAGGTGGCATTGGATGGCGGGCATGGGTGTGTGAGGTGACATTGGATGACGGGCATGGGTGTGTGAGGTGACATTGGATGACTGGCATGGGTGTGGGGTGGCATTGGATGGTGGGCATGGGTGTGTTAGGTGACATTGGATGACGGGCATGGGGGTGTGAGGGGGCATTGGGTGGTGGGCAG